AATTGACGAAGTCATGTGCATCACGGGAAAAGCCGCGGCCTACAGCAGGTACACCTTCCAAAACACCAAACATGTAGTTTTTTTTCTTTTTTGACGCTGTCTTGAAAGTCTCATTTTGCTATTTGAAGAAGTTCATTCAATCAAAGGCCGTTTCGTCAAAAAGAAAGAAAAAATGTTTAATCCAAGGGAGAAAAATAACAGCAGTGGAGCGAGGGAGAATCTTTCTTTCACCCACCACGGAATCACGCCTCACGGGTTCGCGGTCTCAGCCACGGCGGGGCCCGATAGATGCACGTTCTGCCCTCGTCAGCCCCCACGAGGAGGAATTCCCCGTCCTGCCCCTCGCGCCACGCCCAAACCCGGTTGACTTCGGGCCCCCAGCCAGGCCCATTCCCGTCAAGCTGGCCCGCTCGAAGATTCCGTCGTCGTCGTCGTCATCGTGCGGATGCACAAACAAAGATGCAGCCGAGGAGCGCATGTCATGTCATGCCACGGCAGCAGCTCGTCGCTGGAGGAGTAGGAGTAGAAACTGAGAGCGCACTCCGAGGAGGAGAGGCAGACGCAGAGGCTACTTGCGCGCCGTCCTCAAGTACAAATCCACCACCCCCACCCCGGCCAGCCCACCAACCCACATCCTCCCGTACTACGTACCCTCCCCACTCGCGCGCAACCGCGGCTAACTTTATTCCTGGCGGCGGCGGCTGCGGCGGGATCCGTCTGGTACCGCACCGCGCAGTCCTAGTGCGAGCCCGAGAGGAACGGGAGAGTGATCCGGAGCCGCTCATCGACTGACTGCTTGTCGGGCCCTATCGCCATGGGAGATCGCCTCCGCGTGCCACCGAGCTAGGTGAGCTCCTCTCCTCGGCGCCCGATCTGATCTGAGCTGCTCTGGTTTCCTTGTCGTTTTCTTCGTGAGCACTGCCCCTCCTCCTCCTCCGTCTCCGCGGGGAAGACGAGACGCCATGGCTATGGCGCCTATGGCTATATAGCTAGGAGTTGGAGGGGCACTAGCGCGCGCGCTAGTCGGCCGGCGGCCAGCTAGTTGCACGGCCACGACAACGTGGTGGGGGTTCACCGGGGGGGCTGCCTGCGGTTGTCTACCGTCTCGTCTCTCTCTTCTCTTCACTTTCCTCCCAGGGCGTGGCTGGGGCGGGGCGGGGCTAGCTGACGGCGATGTGCCCCGCTTTAGTTTCCATCATGGATGGGGATGGGGATGTCTCGTCCGCTACCGCTACTTGCTCGTGCCTGCCGATGGAGTGGTGCGGCCGGGAACGGCTTCCCGCGAGCTAGTGGCGTCCGTCGTGGCAGCCATGCGCATCAAATCTTATTGCCTGCCTGCTGCTAGATTCCTTGGATTGCATCGTGACGAGATTTTTCCTCTCCTCTCTTTTTCCCCTTGTGCCCAGCGAGGAGTTGATCCGAGGTTCGTGGCTCCCGTCGCTCCGCCCCGTCCCCGTCGCCGGCCGGTTCGTTCTTGGTTGGTGCGTATGCGGCGGAGGGTCTGAGGATTGCCGAGCGAGCTGGTTGTGGCCATGGAGCATCCGATGCAAAGGAGCGACGAGGGCGGCCTGCGCGGCAGCAGCATGCGTGCCGGCATGGACGAGCTGGATCTCATGGAGGAGTTCCTGCTCGCGTCGCCCGGGCCAGACTTCCCCGAGTTCCTGCACCCCGGCGGCGCGTCGCCGAGCCCCTTCTCCCCGCTCTTCGACCTCGGCAGCACCATCACCACCGCCCCGGCCGGCGGCGGCGACGACGACGGCGAGGACGGGGACGACGAGTCGCGCCGCGCGTGGCTGATCCAGCCGCAGGAGGCGCCGGCGTCGGTGAAGGAGCGGCTGGGGCGCGCGCTGCAGGGCATCGCGTCGCGGTCGCGCGGGGCGGCGGGCGAGCTGCTGGTGCAGGTGTGGGTGCCCACGCGCATCGGCGACCGCCAGGTGCTCACCACCTGCGGCCAGCCCTTCTGGCTCGACCGCCGCAGCGACCGCCTCGAGAGCTACCGCACCGTGTCCGTCAAGTACCAGTTCTCCGCCGACGAGACCTCCTGCGCCGAGCTGGGGCTCCCCGGCCGCGTCTTCGTCGGCCGCGTCCCCGAGTGGACGCCCGACGTGCGCCTCTTCACCGACAACGAGTACCCGCGCGTCCGCTACGCGCAGCACTTCGACATCCGCGGCAGCGTCGCCATGCCGGTCTTCGAGCGCCGCACCGGCGCGTGCCTCGGCGTCGTCGAGCTCGTCATGACCACCCAGAAGATCAACTACAACGCCGAGATCGACAACATCTGCAACGCTCTCAAGGTAGATTACATCTTAGCGCGTTGCTTGTCGCCCTTTCCATTCTCCAGACCCCTGTGTGCACCGTGCGTATCATGTTATGCGCTTAACCTGTTCGATGAAATGCCCTTAGGGGGAAGATGTGATAACTACCGGGCACGCCGATCCCCGAAGTAATCAGCCTTTTCGCCCCTCTTTCCTTGATGATTCCCTTGTGTTCTAAAGCTACATCTGTGAAAATTTGCAGGAGGTTGATCTCAGAGGTTCTGATGTTTCAAGCGATCCTCGCGCACAGGTGGGCTGAAAGAAAGACACCAAGTTCCTGGTTGTTTTGCGGTAGAATGCCGAAATGTTGGCGTCGCTAACATATGCTCTGCTTCATTGTTGTCAGGTGGTCGATACTTCCTACCGAGCAATTGTACCAGAGATCGCGCATGTTCTCAAAGCTGTTTGTGAGACCCATAAGTTGCCACTGGCCCAGACATGGATACCCTGCGTCTGCCAGGCCAAAAGGGCGAGCCGCCACTCCGACGAAAAATACAAGTACTGTGTCTCCACCGTGGACGAAGCGTGTTATGTCGGCGATCCCGCCATGACTGGCTTTCACCAGGCTTGCTCCGAGCATCATCTGTTCAGGGGTGAGGGTGTTGTCGGCACGGCGCTCGGGACAAATGAGCCATGTTTCTGCCCAGACATTACTGCCTACAGCAAGGTCCAATACCCTCTCTCACATTATGCAAAGCTTTTCGGCCTAAGGGCCGCGGTGGCAATTCGGCTGCGAAGCGTCAAGACCGGGAGTATGGATCTTATCTTGGAATTTTTCTTGCCAAACAACTGCATAAATAGTGAAGAGCAAGGGAACATGCTCAATTCTCTGTCCAATACCATACAACAAGCCTCCTGTACACTGCGAGTTGTCGGCGTGAAAGAACTGGCGAATGATGGATCGCCTGAAACTAGCTCGCCAACCCCACCAGAAGTTTGTGACAAGCCTGCTGAAATCTTGGATGAGCTTGCTAGTGGCATTGATATTCCTGCAAGGACAACATCAGTGGATGCTTCCGAGGAGGTATCTTCATGGATTGCAAGCCTTGTGGATGTTCAGAATAATGCGGCGCAGGCAGAAACAGATTGTGGCCTGCCATTTGGGTTCAGGAAACAAGAGGATGAAGGGTTTAGTGTAACAGCTGGCTGGCCAACTTCACCGGTGCTAGTACCTGAAGATAAAAGTTTCTTTCCAGGGTTTAAGAAGCATGAAGAATATGAGGCCAAGGGTTCACCTTTTTCCAGTGATCGAAGCCTCTCAAACTCAGACAAAGCAATAGAGAAGCGGCGAACTAAAATTGAGAAAACGGTGAGCCTGCAAGAACTCCGGAAGCATTTCGCTGGTAGTTTGAAAGAAGCTGCAAAGAATTTAGGAGGTAACTTATGACTCTCTCAACTCTACTCTTCTTTACCGTTCTTTTTGTTGTTTCACTTGCATTTTCTCTCTTTGGATGCGTAGTCAGTAGATTTAGACAACTTGCTAAAAACCTGGCACCACTATTCCTTCCTAATACCCATATCTTTACTTGGGTGGCTCAAATAGGAGTGCGCATCTTGCTATGCAGAGCCCAGATTTTGTACTCATTGCAGTCGTATTGCCTCGATGCTACGTCTGAGTAAATATTATTCCCTTTACCAAAAAGGGGAGTGTATAATCACTTAATAATTAGACAGGGACTCTTAAAAACAGACTTATACTCTAATAAAGTTAGTTCTGAATAACTCAGCTGATGTTGTTCTTGCAACAATTTGCAACTGAAAGACACACTGGTCTAGATTCTTCACTGACTGTTTGCATACATACAAACTGGCAATGTCTATAATTGACTATAACTTATTGTCTTTATACCATTCGTTCCAGTGTGCCCTACTACATTGAAGAGAATATGCAGACATCATGGAATTGATCGTTGGCCATCAAGGAAGATCAAGAAAGTTGGGCACTCTCTAAAGAAATTGCAAATGGTCATTGATTCGGTACATGGAGCTGAAGGAACAGTTCGGCTGAGTTCACTCTATGAGAATTTCACCAAGACTACATGGTCAGAAAGAGAATTGCACGGAGATCTGAGTTATCCAGCATCAGAGCAAAAGGTTCAGCTGGAGCCTTCAGTTCCTGATCGACAGTGCGAGAGCAGATTCAGTCCCCATACCTCTGGCTCTAATTCCCTCTCACCCACCTACAGCCAGAGCTCAAATTCTAGCCTGGGCTGCTCCAGCGATCCAAAGCCTCAACAACAGCAAAGCAGCGCTCCTCAGCTTGCGGTGAAGCAGGAATTTTTCATGGAGGAGAATCAGAGTTCGACACAGATGAAAGCTGCGAGCCACGACGAACTGCAGTTATTTACTGAAGAGAAACCTGTCACCCTTTGTAGGTCTCAGAGTCACATGCTATTCAGTGAACACAAACCAATGGCAAACATGTCAGGCATGCAAGAAGCCAAGCCTGATTCTCTCAAGATAAAAGCCATGTATGGCGAGGAAAGATGCATATTCCGGCTTCAGCCTAGTTGGGGCTTTGAAAAGCTAAAAGAAGAAATCGCAAAGCGGTTCGGCATTTCTCGGGAAATTTATGACCTCAAGTACTTGGATGATGAGTCGGAGTGGGTTCTTTTGACATGTGATGCAGACCTTCTGGAGTGTATCGATGTGTACAAGTCATCAAGTGCTAAAACAGTTAGGATCTCTGTGAACCCTACAGTTCAACCGGCACTCCGTGGTTCCTTCGGTTAATCCTGACACTGCTTCTTCAACATTGAAAACAACCACCCCTTCTTCCAAGTTTTCAGTTATGGTACAGACCACCTTTGTAAATATTTGGAGTCTGTGGACTGTGGTCCATCCAGTAGTCATATGCTTGGTGAGTTATCTGTCAGCCTGGTCTGTGATAACTGAATATGACACTTTGTACTTGTAGACTAGGTCATATTCAGCCATAGGGAAACTCGTTTACCGCAGTTACCAAACTAGTGTACAGAATAGGAAAGAATAGGAATTTGTCGAAATGAAGCTTCGCATTAGGTCTAGAACTCATGTTCAGGTTACCTGGCAAATGTAAGTTCTTTCTGGGCTTGTTTGATCCGTCTTGCAATTCTGAAGCACCTTCAAGGTTTCAGACATTCGAAAGCTTGCTTGAAGGCATGCGCTGTGGAATTGAGAGAATTATGTCTCCTGCCTTCACGCGTCAGTTTGAGCGTCATGAAGAGTCGAAGATGCATCCTTACGGTGCTGAAACGCCTTCTCGCTTGTGTAAGTATTGCTGGACTGAATTTTCTTTTCAGAAATAGTATAAATCATTTCCCTTGTAAAATTCGATGGCACGGTTAACTGATCTTACTTGCATCCACATATTTGCAGATGAGTGCACTCGGATTGTTTTGCTCGCTGTAAGAATACATGCGTCCATCAATCTCATCTCTGGTCTCGAAAAATGCAATCCTGCTGATTCAAGATCAGTGCTGCTCATGTGTGAGGCAGGGAGCTGTCTAGACTCCTAGACAGCCTCGGGCCGACGATGGTGCATGCATAATAGGATGATAGGAGATGTTTTATTTTCCTCCCTTTTTTTGTTTGAGAACAACGGAATGCTAGAGTTTTTTTGGTGGTATTATTTTTGTATAATAATTACTCGGGATTACACCTGTACACCTTGCTTCAGAAATCCATAACATGTATGCAACAGTCTGTGATTGCTTATAGACTGATGTTTCTTCTCCTTTCTTTTTTCTCTGAATGTGCATCGAAATGCCTGCCATTTTTTGTTACTCCTACTAGACAAAGTACACAAGAATACAAAGCCACAAGTTCGGCAGTGACCTAGTAATTCAAAGGCAAGTAGTATGAAGCGAAACAAAACTGACTAGCTAACAAAGAAATCAAGAAATTAATCATCAAAGGCCATTCGTTAACAGATGGAATTATCAGTTCGTCGTCAGGCCGGCTTGGATGAACCGCGGTACGGCGACCTTTGTGATGTCGCCGGGACGGGCCTCGGCCTCGGCGGCAGCGCGTCGCGGCTCCCTCTGGCGTCGATCTCCTCGAGCTTGGCGACGACGTCGTCCATGGAGGGCCGGGCCTTGGGGTCGCCGCAGAGGCAGCGGTGCGCGAGCCTGGCGGCCCGGAGCGCCGCCTTGGGCGGGTACTGGCCGGCGAGGCGCTGGTCCATGAGCCCGGTGAGCTTCCTACCGCCGGCGATGTAGGGGCGCGCCCACTCGACGAGGTTGGCCTGGTGGCTGGGCCGGTTGGGGTCGTGCGCGCGGAGCCCCGTGAGCAGCTCTAGCAACACCACGCCGAAGCCGTAGACGTCGCTCTTGACGTAGAGGTGGCCCGTGGCGACGTACTCGGGCGCGGCGTAGCCGTAGCTGCCCATGACCCGCGTGGTGACGTGCGACCGCCCCGCCGCCGGCCCGCTCTTGGCCAGCCCGAAGTCAGACAGCTTCGGGGCGAAGTCGTGGTCGAGGAGGATGTTGGACGCCTTGAAGTCCCGGTAGATGATCTGCGTCTCTGGCGAGTGCAGGAACGCCAGCCCCCGCGCGGCGCCGGCGGCGATCTTCAGCCTCGTCGCCCACGACAGCGGCTCGAACGAGCCGCCCCCTGCGCCATGCATGGATCGAGGAGAGGTCAGCGAAGAGCAAAGTGCAGCGTGTGGATGGATCGAGATCGACCAATGGCGATGGATGCATTGCATGGTGGATGGATTACGTACTTCGGAAGAGGTGGTTCTCGAGGCTGCCCTTGGGCATGAACTCGTAGACGAGGAGGAGGTCGCGGTCCTCGCCGTCGCCGCAGTAGCCCAGCAGCCTCACCAGGTTCGGGTGCTGCAGCCGCCCCAGGAAGTTCACCTCCGACTGCACTTGCCATACACAAAAAAACACAAGTTGCCGCGTTAGCACGGCACGCCGGTGAGGTTTTCAATTTCAGTGAAATTACCATGAAATTAAGTGAATTTCATAATTTCAGTAGACACTTAAATATTTACCTTTCGACCCAAATATTTCAGCAATTTCAGTAGTACACATGGATTCAAGTATTTTTCAAAATAGTTTACAATTTTCACACATTTAACTGAATTCAAGCGTTCGTGGAAATCACTGAATTTCGGTGATTTCGATTGGTGCTGAAATTTTTCTGAAACTAAAGGTGAAACCCAGCTCATGTGCTGGCCAGTAGTGCCAGAGAGCACACAACCCAAAATGAACATGGACAGCTGGGAATAACTAATACTCCCTTCGTTTCTTTTTAGTTTGCATATAAGATTTGGTCAAAGTCGAACTTTGTAAATTTTGACTAGCTTTATAGGAAAAGATATCAACATTCACACTATGAAATCAATGTTATTAGATGCATGATAAAATTAATTTTCATGACATATAATTTTAGTATTGTGGATGTTGATACTTTTTTTTTTCATAAAGTTGACTTTGATCAAATCTTATATGCAGATTAAAAAAATAGAGGAAGTACATACACGAGGTGCAATCGATGAACTACGAGGTGACGGCATGGATTGGAAGCAAATTAACCAGCAAATTGATGGAGTTGAAAAATGCAGCTTGTTGCTTACTGGCATTAATTATCACGCATACTACTAGTACTTGTCAACTATAGGTAAGGGGAGGTTGACCAGAATTGTACACACACCTATACTATAGGCCATAGCACAAGACAACGACCAGCTGGAAAGGGGTGAACCCGCAGGGAAATGTTTTCCATTGACATTATCATGTAAGTAACAGTAACAGAAAGGGATGGACTTTTTGTTGGCTTTTTCATCCTGGTCTCCATGAAGGCCGGATTTTTGAAAAATACAACAAAACATTTTGAAATACAACAAAATGTATTTTGAAATACGAACACTCGGCCAGACCGGGTGGTGCTCTCGGCCCGATGCGGGCAGCTGCGTGAGGCCACCGGATTAGATAGTGCCCGTTCATGCAATTCAGACAGATTATCATTATCATGAGTGTATGTATTGCAACTTTGTTCCCTACATAAGTGGCTTTTGGGTTGATCCATGTATGCATGTTGTCAGACTCTGTTAAATAATAATAAAGATGACCGCATCAATCAATCTCAATCATAGCCAAGGTACATACATACATACTAGCACCTATATTTCAAAATACAAGCCATAGTTTGGCTGTCTAAATTCGAGTTATGCGTGAAATATAATCATGGATTCAGACAGTTGGTATGAATAATGCTAGAGATACATAGTTACAGGGAATTACAACAGGGAATTACAAACCAGTAAGTTTTGATTGGAGATTAAGGGGAGGAAGGGCCCACCCCGTGAAAACGGGGGGCTAGCTAGAAAGAAAAAAAATCCTAATCAACATGTGATTGCTTGTAACTCTTTGTGCATTTAGCATTATTAATTTAGAAGCAGCATGCAGGAAGCACACCAACAAGCACATGGAGTTGAAAAATGCAGGTTGTTGCTTGCTGGCATTGGCAGCGAGTTACTTATCAGCTAGGTACATACAGGGTTGACCAGACTTGTACACCGATGACAGGACACGATAACGACTAGCTCAAGAGTGGTGAGCCGCAGGGAAATGTTCTCCGGTGAGAGCATCTCTAACAAGCGCCTAAAAAATATCTCACGCGCTATAATCTAGCGTTTTTGTGCGTCAGGGACAAAAAACAGCGCTCTAGTAGACGATGTGAAATAGAATGCACACAAAAATCTTTAGCGCACAGGTGTGCACGCAGGTTGTTGGGCTGCAAATTTCGGGTGCCGAATTATGCGCGCGGGCTGCTGCTGGTGGGGCCACCGAATTGGACGCAGTGTTTTTGTGCATCTAGAAAACCTCTTCATATCGCGCCAAGGCGAAGCGCACCTGTTGGAGATGTTCTGACATTATCGTCTAGTGTCGGATTTTTTTTTCCGTGATCAATTGTTTGCCATGCCTGCCTCTCGGCTCCCTTCCTGGAGCTGAGGAGCAAGAAATCCACACATGAAAATTGACTTATTCCATATGTAATTTTTATATATTCATGCCACTTTTATAAAAGTAGCTATATATTAGGGCAAACAAAGTTCATGTCACTTTTATAAAAGTAGCTATATATTAGGGCAAACAAAGTTAGTGAAGTGCAAATTGACCAAGAAAATGAATCAACCAACCCAAGCATAAGCATACGAGCAATGGAATTGATAGCAAAGTGGCATGGACCCGATCATAGCCAAGGTACACACATACTAGCACCTACATTTCAAAATACCAGCTACAGTTTGACTGTGTAAACATAATCATGGATTCAGACAGTTGGTATGAATTTAGAAGCATGTTGCAAGCACACAAACAAGCACATGGAGTTGAAAAATGCAGCTCGTTGCTTGTTGGCAATGGCACGCGAATTACTTATCAGCTAGGTACAGACACGGTTGACTAGACTTGTACACCGACAGGCCAAGACAACGACTAGCTGAAGCATGGTGAGACGCATGGAAATGTTCTCCATTGACATTATTATCACATAGAAAGGGGACGGGTTTTTTCTAGCGCAACCCAACCCGGAGACGAAAATAATGAAGTGCATATTGACCAGGAAAAATGCATGGATGGGAGGCGAGACCGACTGAATCATGGAATGTTCACAGATGTAGGGTGTACATGTGTGTGTTCATGGTATGAATGCATGTGGATGTACGTAAGCACTTAGTACCATGTTAAAAAGAATCACGGATTTAAACAATACCACTCCCTCTGTAAACAAATATAAGAGTGTTTAGATCATTATTTTAATGATCTAAACACTCTTACATTTCTTTATGAAGGGAGTATGAGTTTAGAAGCATGTTGGAATTGGCAGGCGAATTACTTATCAGCTAGGTACATGCAGGGTTGACGAGACTAGTACACCGATGACACTTGACAGGCCACGACAAGGACTAGCTCAAGAGTGGTGAGCCGCAGGGAAATGTTCGCCATTGACATTGTCGTCTAATGGAAAGGCATGGGTTTCTCCTTCCCAGCTGCTAGTGCAACCCGGAGACAAAATTAATGAAGTGCAAATTGACCAGTAGAAGTGCCATGGATGGGATGGGAGAGGCTGACTGAATCAACTCGGAATGGGAATGGAGCCGCGAGGGAGGCAGGCAAGGCAAGCAACAGAAACCGGCGGCCGGGGGATGAGATGAGCTCACCTGCCACTCCTGGAGGCCCTGGACGCTCTCGGCGTTGAGCCTCTTGACGGCGACGACGACGCCGGCGGAGCTCTTGGCCGGGTTGAGGGTGCGGTCGTCGACCCAGCCCTTGTAGACCCGCCCGAAGCCGCCCTCCCCGAGCACCATCTCCGGCTTGAACCCGCGCGTGACCGCCCGCAGCTCCGCCAGCGTGAACACCCGCAGCCTCGGCGCGTCCAGGACACGCCCGCCCGCGCTCGGCCACCGGCGGTATGACTCCAAGGACTCCTCCTCCCTCCCGCCGCCGCCGCCGCTCTCCCTGGTGGACGACGACGGCGACGGCTTCCCTTTGGCCGGAGGGCTTGTGGGTTTGCCGCCGGACCGGAAGCAGTTCCCCATGACAGCTGAGCTGAGCTGATCTAGCTTCCCTCCTCTTCTTCTTCTGGCTGTTTTCGTGCGCGTGTGTTAGCCTGTTAGGTGATCGTGTGCGCGCGTTTGCTTATGTATATGCAGTTGGGTCACCGGCCGGGAATTTCCGGCTGCTTGCCTCGTCGTCTCGGGTAGCTGGACAGAGCGACGGCCTCCGGTGAGTGACTACTCGTGTGCATGCATGGAAATCGAAGTCAAAAACAAAAAAAGGAAATTGACCAGAGTGGGATTTGAACCCACGCCCTTTCGGACCAGAGCCTTAATCTGGCGCCTTAGACCAACTCGGCCATCTGATCAGCTGTTGCTCTTCTGTTTTTACATGTTACTTGAGTGCGCGACGAAAAAATTATGGCAATAGCAAGAAGCTACTCGGTGGCCACACGCTGGCTGGCTGATGCGCAAACCATTTGATTTGACATGAGCGAAAATACTACTCGCTCCGTTCATTTTTATAAGTCGTTTCAGACAAGTAAAATTGTGATGTTTCGCGCACCATCTGAAACATCTACAAAGCCTTGTAAAAATGAAAGAGTACAAGAAGAAGAAAGATATACCTGATCGCCTGGCTAGATCCTGCCCCTGCCGCCCCTGGGGATGATATGTGCTTCATAGCTGATCTCTTGGTTATTGCCTTTTGGCGTTTAATCCCTGGCTTGTGATGTCTTAAAATCGTCAAGTATCGTGGATAGCCCTTTGGTTGCCGAAAATGCATAGGAGCTCTCGGGTGCTACGCCCCCTTATATTCAAAAATAATTTAGTAATTTAAAAAAAGTCAAAAAATCCCGGAACTTTTTACGAAATCAAACATGACCAGGTATTGCACTCGTATAAAAATATTTAAATAGGAAACGTCTTTTATTGTATCCGGGGTCAAAGATTCCCTAAAAAATGCTAGATACAAGTACTATTCATGCTATATTGTCGTCATAAATTTGTTCTTTTTTGCCCTGAAGTCAACGAGAATTATTCTTTGGCCAAACATTTTATATGAGTACAATACCTAGTCATATTTGATTCAAAAATATATCCAAGATTTGTTTTGGCTTTTTTTTTGAATTATTAAATTATTTTTGAATATAGGGGGGTGGAGCACCCGAGTGCTCCTAATCCGCTTCCTTTGGTTGCCTGCTTGTTATGCCGGTCTTACTTGCCTCTTTGGCCAAGTTTGAATGATGTGAACTGTTGTGGTTTCATTTTAATAATAAAAATGGGACCGGGGGAAACTCCCTTTTGATTAAAAAAGATATACGAGCAGTTGACATCCATTAAGTTGGGAGCAATATTTCAATTGCAACCTTCACGTGTATACACGCCGTGCTTATTGTATCTCCGGCGTTTACTACGTTGCCTACTACTACACTGGTAAAGAAAGCAGTAAATGTTTAAAAAGAACAAAACTGCTCTGCACACGGCAGTCCACGGACGAAATCTGAATCAACGGAGCTGATTTTCGAAATGATCCAATCTAATGGATGATTTGATTCATCGTTCACAATCGTGTGCAGAGGTGTCGTCCGTATAGCACTGGTCGAAAAAATCGCAAGGCACAAACTGTTTGAGATCTTATCTTAGTAATAAATACAAAAGGAAATAATCGCAACCTCTGTTGCTTGCCCATTGTGCGGGGCTTGTGAGAGCATCACACACCTTCTTCCTCCGGCCTCTCTGGACGAGCTGAAAAGCTTATATAATGGATTTTCGGACAACCTGGAAGATGTTTGGAGGGGAACTCTGAGCGGCAAAGTGCGCCCAATCGTGATAATTGCCACTCTTTGGAACTCTTGGAAACATCATAATGCCAAAGTTTTTAGCAATGAAACTCCGGGCATCCACCACATTGTCATGGTCGCAACGGACGACCTTGTGCTTTCGTCTCATCGATGCGACCACACTCAATATCAATCGCTTCTCCGTAATTGGGGCGCTATGTTGTCTCACCTAGCCACGAGATTATAGTCCCTGTGTAATCTTCATTTTTCCCCTTTTCTGCTCTCTTTCTTTTTCCTACACCACCCCCTGTAACTCTACTCTCTGTAATGACGTTGGTTTCGGTAATATAAATTCAGGCCGGCGTAAGCCCGCCGTTGACGTGTCAAAAAAAAAGATAACTAAGATAACACTCCGCAATGATTTTGGGTACATTCCTGTTTCACCACCTCTTGACCCGGCACATGTCCCAAGGTCCATTTATTTTTGTTTTTGCAGATGTCCAAGGAAAAGACGATATACTCCAAGAGTAACCAAGTTGTGCTAGCTATTTTACTAACCATTTTGTCCCTTCCCTTGTGTAGATTTGGTCCTCCCTATATATGTTCTGCGTCACACACGGAGTATTTTATCAATCTGAAGAAACTCTCACACCGCCCACATGTGCAAGCACAATCTCCCACTGGATCATCGACATTGATAATTTCTCTTTTTTGAAACCAGAAATCTTATTCCTACGCAAGAGTTTTACTTGAATCTTACGTGTTATGAGAGGAGGAGTAACTACCTAGAGCAAATTGAATTAATAACCGTCGCCCAAGTCGGTCCCATAACATAATACGTTAGCTTGCAAAAGTGTCTCATATTATCGGACAGACGGAGTTTTATGTAAAACACATACGTAAGAATAGCATTGCTCTTTTGGAAGATACCCCCCACCCCACAAAAAAAAATACTCAATGATGACAATAACAACTTGACCAAAAACCAAAACAGCAAATACATTGCTGTTCCCCTATCATCCCAGGAATGACCAATACGCATGACTGATCATATGTACAAAATCGCCACACAATTTATGAAGCTACTAGAACCAACAAACAACACGAAAAAACCAACAGTCACACACACACACAGTCAGCTGCAACTCTATGACATTTCACCGGTCTCCTTCATACCAGCCCTCTGCCGCGACTCTATGACATTTCGACAGTTTCAGGTTGTTCAACGACCTACCGCACTCATCTCTCTTGCCAGGCCCAGTGAGGCCTATAGGAGGCTAGGACGCGTACTGCGAGACCCTCCTGCTGCCGCCGCCGCCTCCTCGCCGTCTGGACGGCGTGCGGCTGTACTGCGGTGAGCCGCTGTATGCCGGGGAGCCCATGGAGGCCAGGGAAGCATAAGGCTGGCTGGCGACATGGTTCAGGCCTATCGCAACGTCTGCGATGATGGGGCGGACGTGGGGCTGGTCCTGCAGGCACATGATGCTGATCACCACCAGCTGGTTGAGCGCCGAGGGCGGGTAGCTGCCGCGGAGGGCTGGGTCAGCCAGCCGGTGGAATTTCCTCTTGTCATGCATAAATGGCCTTGACTGCAAAAAGATAAATAAAAGAAAGGTGTGAGTAACCCTCCAGAGCTTTACAGAAACAAATTTGATGATACTCAAATTAACCATTCCAAATTTGATGTTCAATGGCAGCAATGATGCAATGTGGGTAAAAATGAGAAAATTATATGTTTTTTCTTTTGCCAAGGAACAGAGAAACTTATGTGAACATCATCTAAATAGAAGGAAAATTAACATGTCTATGAAAACAGAGTACTCTCAAGATATAATTGGATTCTAAGAAAAGACAGCTATTCTGCAGACAGATTCTGAGAGGATGCATATAAAGTATGGAACGAGGTAGAACTGCTTACCCATGTTAGCAAACTCTGCTCTGGCTTAGGCCTCGAAGCATCATAGATCCTCCTCCCGGTGATCAGCTCCAACAGAAGAACACCAAAGCTGTAGATGTCGGATTTCATGGTAAGCTTGCCACTCACCACGTAATCAGGAGCGCAGTATCCATAGGTACCCATGACCCTGGTAGACACATGAGTCCTGTCACCAACGGGCCCAACTTTTGCCAGTCCAAAATCGGAGAGCTTTGGGCTGAAGTCCTCATCCAGCAGAATGTTGGCAGCTTTCATGTCGCGGTAAATGATCGGTGGGTCTGCCACGTTGTGCAGGTATGAGAGCCCTTCTGCTACCCCAACAGCTATCTTCACTCGTGTATTCCAGTCGAGTGGTGGCTTGCCATGAGGAACATCTGTTCAAAGGTGAAAATTTCTATCAGTGAATGAAGTGTACACGATGTTTCATTCAGTATACAAATAACCAAATTGATATATAAGTAAAAGATGTATCAAGCATAGTGAGACAAGAAACAGAAAGTACGCAAACGGTTAGATAAAAAAATCAAGTCGAGTAACGATAACACATTTTTGGAAGACTGGAAGTATTGGCCTAAGTTTAGCAGGAGCACATCACTGAAACAGATTACATGTTAGGAAAATAAAGGAACTTTGCAGAAAAGTTCAGATGGTTCACATCATGCCCATCACCTAGTACTGCTATCATTGTGCAGACCATGTGATGTTCAGGCATGAGACAAAGCACGAGGACCTGAGAGCTTCAATAATTTACGTGGGGACAATTCTGGCTAACCTTAGGCATTATGTGCTCAATAATTTTGGCATGTAGGAAAATGTTCAATCATCAAAAAGGTTGCTTTTCAGGTAAGAAACATATAAGCGAGTATGACGAAGTTTTTGTGCGGATTGCATGCTGAAACCAGTTTATTTTGTAGTTTTCCAGAATACACAAAATGGATGGTTCACACTTCACACTACCCAACTAAGCGATTAGCCAATAATACTTACCAACTTAATAACTATACACAAAAAAAAAACTCGACCCTCACGTGGGTTGGTGTCTCTGTGCGTGCCAGCGAGAGGGAATTTTTTTATGCGAGACCCAGGCTTTGAACTGGGGTCAGTCGCTCCAGAGGCGTTACCATCACACTCAATACTTAATAGTGTTTGTAAATGGACATGAACATAAATGACAATAACAAACTACATTGTCCCCTGACTTTAATCCCTTGAAAGAGGAGACAGCATACCCATAGTTTCAGAAATCTTGCAAAGTATTCAGCCTTACAAGAGAACAAATCAGGAAGACAAAGGCGATGGCAGAGGACATATGGGGAATGCAAAGT